AAAATCTCTAACCTATAATAAGCTTTCAATAAATTTTAGCCACAATAAATGTATATGGAGACATAGCTATATATCTATCTCTAGCTAGCTATATATATATATATCTTGTGAACACTGCTCTATCTTGAATAACTTCATTGCCTCTGACACACATATTCCCTTACCTCAGTCAGTGGGTCAATCCATCTCATCCAGGGTCTTCCTCTCTTGCACTGTCCCTCCAACCTCCCAAGCATGATGTCCTTTTCTAAGGACTTGGATATCCTTGCAACATGCCCAAATCATATCACAAAGTTTCAAAATCCTTGCTTCCAAGAAGCAGCCTGGTTTCACCCTCTCCAGGATGAATCTGTTTATTTTTTTAGCAGTCCATGTTATATTCAATACTCTTCTCTAGCACTACTGCTCAAAGGCATTAATTCTATTTCTGTCATCCTTAGTCATTGTCCAGGTCTCTGATGCATATCAAGTAATTATAAAGACCATAGCCTGGATCAGGTTCACCTTAGTCTCTAGACTGACATCATTGCTCTTCTATACTCTGGAGAGGTCCCCCGACAGCAGATTTTCCCAGTGCAATTTGTCTCTATTTTCTGGCTGCTGGTGCCGAGAGTGTTGATTGTGGAGCAAAGCTAGCTGAAGCAATTAACAATCTCAGTCTCTTCACCATCTATTATGATGCTGACAGTTGGTCCAGTGGTGAAAATGTTTGTTTTTTATATTGAGCTTCAATCCATATTGAGGGCTGCACTTTGAGCTTCTGAAGGAAATGTCTCAAGTCCATCTCAATTTCAGCAAGCAAGGCTGTGTCTTCTACATAATGCAGGTTGTTGATGAGTCTTCCCCTAATCCTTATGCCATATTCCTCCTCATAGAGCCCAGCCTCCCAGATGATCTGTTCTGCAGATAGATTGAGAATGTATAGAAACAGGATTCATCACTCTGGCTAGCGGGGGAGGGAGAGAGACAGAGAGACACAGAGAGAGAGAGAGAATGTGTTAGTTGTTGTTGCATTTCATGGAGTCGGTGATGACCCATACCCGACCCTCAGTGGGTCTTCAGAAGCAGTTAATCACACAGGAGGAGATTGCGCATCTTTCTCCTGCAGAGTTGCTGATGGCTTCTAACTGTGTGCCTTAGAGATTACAGCATAACTTCTTATCACTAGGTCAATAGGAACATATACATGTATGTAGGTAGAAACACAAATATGAAACCAATATAATATTTGCATTATGTTATTGCAAAAACAAAATATTAAAAATGTTAATTTTCTTATTGCTAATTGCTAACATTATTGTTATGTGCTGTTGAGTTGCTTGTGACTCATAGCAACCATACACAGCTCTGAAGCCTGCCTTGTCCTGAGCCAGTCTCATTGATTCTGACACACCAACCCCCCTTGCCCTAGTTACTGTTTCAATCCATCTAATCCAGGGTCTTCATCTTCTGTGTCATCCCTCCATCAGAGCATGGTGTCTTTCTCCAAGGACTGGTCCCTCCGGGCTGTGTGCCCAAAGTATGTGAGACAGAACTTCACAATCCTAGCCTCCAAGGAGAAACTTGGTTTTACCCGCTCCAAGACAGACCTATTTGTTCTCTTGGTGGTCCATCATTCAAGACTCTTGTTTGGCATCACAACTTGAAGGTGTCAACTCTTCTTCTGTCATCCTTAGTCATTAGCTACCTTTCTGATGCATAGCAAGTAATTGTAAAGACGATGACCTGGATTAGGCGCACCTTAGTCTCTAGACTGACATCATTGCTTTTTAGTACTCTGGAGAGGTTTCTGACAACAGATTTTCCCAATGCAATTTGTCTTTTCATTTATTGAATGCTGGTGTCAAGAATGTAGATTGTGGAGCCGAGCAAACTGTAATTGTTTACAATCTCAATCTCTTCTCCATCTATCATGGTCTTGACAGTGGCCCAATATTGAGAATCTTTTCTTGCTAATATTAGAATTCCATGAAGGTAAATTTATTTTGACTATAAACCCAAGTAAAACAGACATATGCTGTTTAATAAAATTGGATTAAATTAATGACTTTTGGTGGATATTATATAGAGTTCACAAAGACTGTACTTGAATATGAAAAATAATCATATGTATCTAATTACTCAGATTCCTTTAAAAAAGACCTATACACTCCAGACTTCATCTACTTTTATGTCCTCTAGATAAACACATTATCATATGTCCTTGTATAAATAATGTTCAGTACCTCTGTAAACAGGTGTCAGGATATAGTGACAGTGTATATTTAACAAAAAAATCTTTCATTTTAACAAAGAAACAGTGTATATTCTAGTTCATAAGGATTTATTTTTTTTTTTACTGTAGAGTTAATGATTGGTTATTTGATACCAAATGTTTATATATCAATCAATTCAAAATTTCTACTTAAGAAAAAAAGTATATCTTTTCTGGCAACACAAAATGAATTAAAAGAAGAAGAAAAACACTAAATTTAAACTAACATCTCTTTTAGCAAATTGTTTTGTTAATATAAGACAAATTATAAAAATTGTTTATAAACTAGGAAAATTCATAGTAACTAAAAAGAAATACACATACATGAGGGAGAAGAATCAGTGTATCAACCTTTTGATACATGCTCAGAAATTATTTTAAAAATTTTATCTGTATTTGTTCAATTGTTTTGATAACATGAGAAAAAATGTCTTATAAAAGAAACACCATTCATGCTTAAGTTAATATGGTTAATCTATAGTCAAGAAAGGATAATGTGCCTGCCAAATAAGGGCCATCCTGAAGATGTAAGAAGTGCTACAATGGAGTTTGTCTTTCAGAGTGGCTTTTTTAATGTGAATGACCGACTATGTGGATGGACAAGACTATCTGAGTGTGGTGAGCTGGCTTATCCACAAAGGGGTTGGCTGTCTACCATTCCACAAGTGAACTGGCTAGTCTCAACAATCTAAGGAGAATTGGCTAGTCTCACCATTAAATTTTGTAACTAGCCAGAAGAATCAGAATCTTCTCTAGTTAGACAAGAGGAAACAGACTTTCCCCACTCCAGTAAAGAGAAGGCATGAAAATGTAGGGCAAGGAAAATGCTTCAGGACAGCAGCAGCAGCTATGCTGAAATGGAGACTTGATATGAGATGGGACTTTGGGGAGTGGGCAAGAGCCAATACTGGCAGGATTGAGAACTTTGTTGAACAACTCAGGGAGGGAAGGCAGTATTAACAGGACTTAGGACTTGGGAATATCTGGCACCACGAGGCTTGGGGCTAAGGTACTTACGTGCACATTTTGGGACTAAGAACTTTGGAACACTTAGAGCCCCAGGGCTTGGAGTGAGGCGCCTGAATCCACTTGCCCGGAGCTATCTTGACTGTATTCTGTTACTAATTTGGATTATAACCTTGTAACTTTCTTAATATGGTCCCATGTGGTCCGAGGGCAATCATGTAGGATTTTGAATGCAGCAAAGCAGTAAGATTGGTTTTGAGATGAGTAGGAAGATGTAAGGCAATGTGAGAGACATGTCTGACGTAATGGGAATTTGTTTTGTGTTATTGACACTGTGGATGGTTCTCTTTTGGAAATTTGGTGGAATTTTGTCTAAGTTGTGTTTTGTTTGCTAATTTTAAAGGATAGTTATGTTTTGGCCTAGTGGCAAGAAGCTGCACTGTGATCCTGCAGGCAATTTGAATCCACCAGTTGCTCTGTGGGAGAAAAATGGGCAGTTTCCTCCTGTGTGTTAACTGCCTCTGAAAACCCACTAGAGAATTAGCTATAGGTTGGTTCTAACTCTTCAGTACATAGCAACAACATCAGCAAGTAAAATATGGACCAGGTATAAAATTTCATTTTAAATATATTTATATAGTTAGTTTACATATGTGTGTTGTATATAAATGCATTATTATACATATTATCATTATAGGTAATTGCTTGAATCAAAGCATTATACTCACTTATTCATTGCCTTTGAGTTAACACCAATTCATAGCTGACTTTCTGGCACATTTTCAGAGGCTATAAATTGCTTGAGAATAGATTACAGATCTTTTTCCTGTGGAGAAGCTGATGGTTTAGAACCTCTCACTTTTGGGTTGGCAGCACAACTCCCTACCCACTAAGTCACCAGAACTGCCTGTTGTTGTTGTTGTTATGTGCCGTCGAGTCATTTGTGACTCATAGCGACCCTATGTACAACAGCCCTAAACACCATGCTCTATTCCGTGCCAATCTCATTGCCTCTGACATACCCATCCCGAAGAACTCCCTACAGAAAAAATATTATATGATTTATAAAATAATTTTGTTATAATTTGGCTTTTAATTTTTCAGTTTATGAAGTTTCAGAACTTATAATTTATACAATATATAAAATATAGAAAAGGAAGAGATAAATCATTTTACTTACTATCTAAAGTGGACTATATTTTTTTCTGAAATATACCAATGTAAAAATTATCCCCAAAATGTATAATCTTCCAATTAAAAAATATAGAAGAAAAGGAAATCTAAAGCATTATTTAATAACATTCAATATACAATGAGAAAATGTTCACGTGAAATATTAGAATACTACTTATTTAAGAAGAAATAGTCAAACCAGGCTATACATGATAGCTGTAATCAATTACATTTCATTGAAGGGACTAGATCACAATTTTCTTTGCTGTAGTAGTTACGTGCCATCAAGTCTACTACAATTTATACAGTCAACTTGGGCAACAGATCAAATACCAACAACTTACTGTTTCTGTAAGATGGTTGTGACATTGCTGATGTCATTCCTTTTTTTCCCTTCAATAGCTCCGAATCTAAATCTTTACTTTGCTACTCTCGTAAATTTTGATATTCTCAATTACGTTTATTAGATACATGTATAATTTCACAAAGACAAAGGATTATCTATTAAGATGCCACATTATTGTTATTTGTCATTAACATACGTAATTACTAGAAATAGCAATGGAAGTTATTTTATTATTAACTAGTAATTTCTCTCCTCTCTTAGCATGGCTGTGGAAACTTTGTCCGCGTTATTCAGGCTTTCAACCGCACTCATTTGTATGTTTGTGGGAGTGGTGCTTTTAGTCCAGTGTGTACTTATGTGAACAGAGGGAGACGATCAGAGGTAAGTGTTGGGATGTTAAAGATTCTTTTAAAAAACTCTACATTTTAGACTAATACAGGTATCCAGTCAATATCCATAAAAAAATATCTTTCAAGTTCTTTCAGCACAATTGTACTACATTTAGTTCCAGATTGTGACGTTCTGAAAGATTAACTGCCTGTCTCTAAGAAAAAGAGATTTCTGAACAAAAAGAATATAAGAAACAAAGGGGAAAAATTGTTGCAACTTTCTAACTATTTGGAGTAGAAAACATTGATAATATTTGCCTCAATCACAATTTTTACATAAACTTACTGTCTGAACACTATTAATTTTTTTACTTATTTCTAAAATTTGTCTATTCTTTATGAGCTACATAACTGTCTTGTTGTTGTATACTGTAGAGATGGAACCAACTCATAGCTGACCCTCTGGTGGGTTTTAAAAGGTCTTTATTTGCACAGGAGGAGATTGCCCATCCTTCTCCCATGGAGAATCTGGTGGATTTGAACTGAGTGCCTTTATTGCAACACAGTTTATTGCCACTAGGCCACCAGAGGATGTATATAAAGGAGAATATCTTTCCTGAAAGAACATTGATGTAATTAATGAATCATAGTTTCATTTACCAACATCAGCCCACAGCAGTCCATGTTAAGTTTACTTTCACATTTGTTAAAATGGCATGGGGTTTTGTGAATCAAAGCATTTGCTACAGACTATTCAAATATGCAGGGAACTCTGGTGGCCTAGTGGTACAGAGTTATGCTACCAATTCAGAGGCAGTTGGTTCAGGCCTACCAGTTAGTCTATAAAATATGGATGGACAATATCCTCCTATGCAATTTACATTCCCTAAGAGCCATTGGAGAGGTAGTTCTGACTTGATGGCACATAATGAGAATAGTCAAATATGTGAAAACCTTGGTACGGTAGTGAACACTCAGCTGCTAACCAAAACCTGGGTCGTTTGAAATCACCATCAAGAGCTCTGCTGGCATGGTTGACAGGAAGTTGCACTGTTAACACAAAGCTCGAACCTCTCTGTGGTCAAATACACCAGCAACTCTATGGGAGAAAGATGGACAATCTCCTCCCTTGTGATTTACAGCCTTGGAAAACCTGCAGCAGGGTCAGCTCTGAGCTGGTTCTAGCTTGAAAGCAATGAATTTGGCAGGTTCTTTTCTTCATTTTGAGATTACCAGCCCTCTGTGGGAGGAAGATATGACCATTTGCTTCCATAAAAACTATTGACTTGGAAATCCTGAGACAGTTCTACTGTGTCACAATTCTTTTAGTTGTTCAGTCACTTATATTGCTCCTGTGTAGTCAAACAGAAGGGTAGTTGAACCTGTGATACTTAAGACTGTGTCTATTCCATCCCACACTTGTTGACGAAAGGAGCTATCATTAAGCCGTGAGAGTTTTCCCACATTCTTTTAGACAAACACGTTGTTTTGTTTCATATAATTCTTTTCCGGCTGAATTTTTTCAAATTACCTTCATTTTCTTTCATTATGCAACTAAATTCTACATAGGAAACTTCTTAAACAAGTTTTCTTAAAGAAAATGTTAACTTTTTCAATTTTGCCTAATTGTGGAAAAGATTAACTATAGCTGCTGATACAGCTTATAAGGTTTACTTTCTTTTTACAAGAGTGAATATGCCTTAGAACTCAGGTAACTGATGCATAATTCTTCATTATTCAGTTTTCCCCAGATATAATTGATGCATATATAATTTTGGCAATTAAAAGTTATATAAATTATAGTTTGACCCCGACAATGGAACAATTTTCAAATATCATTCAAGATTATGTGAAATACCAAATTTTTAAAGGCTAATTAAATGTATGCTTCTTGGAAGAGTGAGGTTGACTATGTTGAACTTGTCATTAGAACCACAGGCCTGTAATCAATTGATTAAATAAACAGCTGCCTCAGATGTCTTCAACCTGTCAGACGTTGACTAAAGGCTGTGCCGTCACAGTGCAGGCCAACAAAAGCAGAGCTGCTTTCACAGTGCAGATTTCAAATACAATCATTTCCCATGTACAAATTGCCCACTATGCACTTCAAGGTTTAATTGGAAATCCTGCCCAATAAATAATCTCCTTTGGAACACCAGTGTGGAATATGATTGGTTTTTTTAATTTAATCTCTTTACAAAATATGAGGTACTTAAATCTGACTTCAAAAGATATATTTCAAAGGGGGATCATTTCCATTAATTGATATAAATTATTTAAATAATGCATGACAAATGAAGAGTCAGTTTTTTAATGAGAAGCGTTGTGATTCTTTTTGTAATTTATGTTTCTTATATAGAATCAAAAGGTTTCACTACAATTCTTATGCCTAACATTTTATAGAGTGACACACGAATATGAGCTTTGTAGATGGGTCTCCTCCTTTGTAAGTAACTGCCTCTGAAAATCCACAGGAGGGTCAGTGGTGGGTCAGTTTTAACTCAGTGGTAAACAGGAACAACAACAATGTTTAGATCAGAAGTCCTGGTAGTGGAGTTGTTGAGCCCTCAGCTGTGAAACTAAAGGTCTGTGGTTCAAACTCAACCAGCCACAGTATGGGAAAAAGATGGGGCATTCTGTTTTTGTAAATATTTATAACCTTGAGACCCTAGGATGTTGTTTGCTCTGTCCTGAAGGATTACTATGAATTGTAATAAACTTGACAGCAAAGAGTTTGTTTTTTAGTGTTTATACATATATTTATTTTTGTAGGATAAAAAAAAAGTCCCTGATATGAAAATTGTCACTTTCTGAGGCAGAAAACCATTTTGAGAGAATTATTATTCTTTGATGAGTTTTGTTTGTTTGTTTGTTTGTTTTTAATCAGATCGGATGTATGAAAGTTATTTTTTTTCTGCTTTGAATTATGATTATAGCCGGTCCTAGCTATAATGGGGGGGATAAATATTTATTCTGAGAGATAGACTCTTCCTAGGGAACTACCCTAAGTCCAGTATATATCATATTAAACCCAGGACACAGCCTCTGATGTACCCAGGTCCCTTTCCTGCATTAATGTTCCTCCCTACCAGTGAGCATGGTCCAACATACTCTGTATGCCAGAACAAAGCCATTGCCAGGGAGTCTATTTTAACTCACGACAATCTTATGTGTCTTAGAATAGAAATGCTCCATCTATTTCCTTGGTTGCCGTTTTTTATGCCTGTGGCTCATGAGTATTAAATCACTGAATGTGTTCAAACTGCTGTCCTCTAGGGTGGTCGCTGTTGTGTGCCATCGAGTCAGAATTGACCTGTAGCTGACCTGCTAGCAGGTTTTCAGAAACAGTTAATTGTACGCGAAGAGATTGCCCATCCTTCTCGCACTGAGCAGATGGTGGGTTCGAACTGTGTGACTTCAGGATTGCAGCTCAGCTTCTTAGCACTAGGCCACCAGAGCTCCCTAACCTCGAGAATAGCCAATCATAAGTCACTTTTTTCCCACCTGTGTTATTTTTTTATTGGTTTGCATAAAATAATTGACATACAATTGTGTTTTATTCATGTATAATTTGTTTTATACAGTGTTTTTATATTGTTTCATGCAATCATATATAGACACTGTATTTTATATAATTAATTACTGTTGATCTATGCATAATATTACCTATCTTTCCTGGGTCTAGTCTGGGTAACAATAGAGATTAATCATTTTTTACACACACACACACCAGTGAATTACAATATACCTTACCTTATTATTTATTCATTGCTCATCTTTCATTAAATGATAATTGTTGAAACATATATTTTTGTCTGTTTTGCTTATTTTACCCCAGAGTCTAGTTAATGCCTATCACACATAATAGAGTCCAGTGAATTTTTGCTAATAACAAAAGGAGTACATGGCACCATTTTTTTTCCAATTGATTTACTTTGATAATGCTTTATTATTTGGAAGCAGGAGTGGCATCCACTTCCTAAACAACGGCCTCTGGAAACTCTGTGAACTTTGAGAAACAACAATAGTTATAGAAAGGCTTCAAGTCTGTTGTTCATAGAGTTTCTATGAATTGTGCTTGACTCAACAGTAATCAACAACAACAGCAGCGCCATGCTTTATTGTAAAACATTAAGTAATAACTTGAAACCTTACTTAGAATTTACCTGATTATTTTGGAAATATTGCTATCCTCATACACATTTTTTCTTGTGTACAGTTTTCTTCTTTTGATCACTGTCTAGTACATAAAGTTCAGGTTTAAAATGAACCTTAATTTTCAGGTGATTTTTTCCTGATGTTGCTTTGAGAATTCTATGTTGGATCAGTTTTCTGAGGAGTATAATGAGATGAGATCTAGACTTTTTGAGCTTAGCTTATAAAGTACAGATGGGTTCCTCTTATAGGTCATTATATGCCTTAATATGGTAATTTGAGAGTCATAAGCACTCTTGCAGAGTATGTATTATTTTTATGACAATATGATTTTACTAATGATTGTTTCATTACATATTACTTATTAATATGTATTCATTTTTATCTACACCAAAGGACCAAGTTTTTATGATTGACTCCAAGTGTGAATCTGGAAAAGGACGCTGCTCTTTCAACCCCAATGTGAACACAGTGTCAGTTATGATCAGTAAGTAGTAGAAGATAAAAGAGGGGGTTGTGAACAAAATATAAAATAAGAGGGAAAATGAAGAACTAGAATCCTGGCAGCCTGTACCGTTTGGATAGGAAGAAAGGAGATATGAGTTGAGACATATTTTCACTTTGCCCTTCCAGGAACATTTACTATTAAATAAAAAGCATGTAATTGTTCATCAAATGTTACCATTCCTAAAGCAAATCAATCACTGTAAAAATTGTGTATATATAATGTTTCAAAAATCTTTTAATATTTTTTAATAACCATACTTTTTCTCATTTTTATTTTTCTAGTTTATTTACAAAATTCAAATACAAGTTTGAACAAATTCTTTCAATTTCCTCACCCCTCCACCCATCAAAATGTACAATCCAATGATTAATCTTCCCCTTCTCCCTGCACATCCACATCCCTCTGCTTCCAGCCTCTTTCACCCCTCCTGGATCCTTATACTCATTCTAAAATACAGTTTTATATAATATTTATCCTTATGTGACTGAGTTAGTTCACTCAGCATTGTGCTTTCCAGTGCCTCCCAAGTTAGGTAATAAAATTTACAAAGTAATTGCTCTTGGTGCTGCATATTATTCCATTGTATGAATGTACCATAACTTCTCAATCCATTTTTTGTTGTTGGACATTTGGGCTGTTTCCATGTTCTTGTGATGGTGAATAATGCTGCTATGAACATTGGTGTACAAATCTCAGTTTGTACCTCAGTTCTCATATTCTCAGGATATATTCCAAGTAGTGGAATAGCTGGGTCTTATGGAATTTCTATGTTCAGCTTTTTGAGGAAGCACCAAGCTGCCTTCCAGAATGGTTGCACCATTTTACAATCCCACCAACAATATATAAGAGTTCCTTTCTCACCACATCCTCTCCAGCATCTATTACTTGTTGCCCTCTTAAACTTTGCCACTCTTACTGGAGTGAGATGGTACCTCATTGTGGTTTTGATTTGCATCTCTCTTATTGCCAGTGATTTGGAGTATTTCTTCATGTGCCTGTTTGCCATTCAAACTTACCTTTTATAAATTACAAATTTCTCTCAAATGAAAGGAGAACAAAATGAATCTATTAGCTGAATACATTCTCTCTGAATTGTCAAGAAGTTGCTACACTAAATCTCTGTTGCCATAAAATATTAGTTAAATAGAAAACCCTGTTGTTTTCTGATACATATGTTAACAAATCACTATGTCTTTGAATCTCAAGTATCAGATACTTTTCATCAGATACTTTTGAAAACATTCTTTTCTCATTAATTAAGGCATTTATAAAATGTCTGAGTTGTCATGAATTGCAACTTCAAATTGTTTACTATATGGTAGATGTTTTTTCCCCCCCTTCACTTTGTCTATACTAAGAAACCTTGATGACCTAGCATGTTGCCTTTTGGATTGCTAACTGATCGGTTGATGGTTCTAGTCTACTAGTGACTCTTGAGAAGAAGAGATGGGCAATTTCCAAGATTAAGAGCGTTTGAAACCTACAGCGTCATTCTGATTCAGACATGACCTATCTTCAGCTGAATTCTCTATGCCGGTAGCAGAGTTTATGTTTCCATTAGCATAGGTGAAGATCTAATTATTTCATTTAAAATCCCATCCTATAGCATATAAGAGAAACCCATCTTCCTCCTGCAAAGTAAATTAAGACAAGTATACCCAACATGTGTCAAGCTGAAAGTTATCCAGTGAATTATTTCTATATAACAATTCAGATCAGGTAAGACAAAGCGAACAGTGTATCATTTGGACAAACTTTAGAAATTTTTGAAATTTCAAGATAGCTAATTATCTCTGCTATCGAGTATTTTAAAATATTTTTTTCCAAATATTATTTAGCAGAAACGGTATCTTGAAAAGTTATTTTCTTAATTATACACAAAATTTTATTCACTTCTGAAAAGTATATATGTCATAATAGCTAAGTTTATACAAAAGCTTTGTTCAAGTTAAATCTTATAAAAATAAATGTCAAGGATCCATTAACAGTAATACTAGAGTTTATCTAGCTGAATATTGTCCAATTCTTTTTAAATTACTAGAAAGCCATTTTAATTTTCTTGTTAAATTATGTTATATCCTTTAATATTTTTGTCCTTGGAAAACAGAACTTGTACGGAATTGTGTTACAATAGCCTTTTTGCTTTTCTTGAGGACATGATACTTTATGCTTATGTTACTATATTTCTTTGACTTCTCTGATTAAAATCCCAATCTGTACTATTAAAATCAGTGACTAAATAATTTCCTTATAAAAATAAAAGGTAAAATATGTAAAAAATTTAGTAAACTTCTAGTATTCTAACCATTTTATTTGTTGTATTGTTTCTCCTTCTAAAATTATGTCCAACAGTCACTTACTTCAAGTCAGTAGACTTGGTTAATTAGTCATCTCACTTTTACTATGTTTTATGACTTTATTGCTTCTGTTCATTTGTAATGCACTAAATAACATAGATAAGAGAATGTCCCTATCTATTTAATTCCAGGAAATACTGAGTTAGAAGAATTCTACATTTCTCAGTAGAGCTGTGTTATCTAACCCACTGTGCAACTTTAGTATTCTCCTGCTGTTTGTATGTTTTATTATAGCACACACATTCTCTCACACACGTTCTCTCTCTCTGACATACATACACACATAAAGTCACAAGGATAATATCTTTATCAAAAACCTCATAAGATTTTTCTCATCAGTGGAATTAAAATTGGAAAGCAAGATACTTTGTAGTTCAATTTAAAATACACAAGTTTGTCTTTAACTAAAGCCCTGAGAAGAAATTATGAACAAGAAAAAAATTGCCCTTCTTAAAGAAGCAAAGCATAATTCCTTATAAATTAATTAAATATGTATTAACACAGTAACTTCTTACCTCATAATTTTATTGAGGATTTTGACAGGAAATGAAGCCAATTAGTTGTGCCGGCTTTTATAATGTTAAAGCATAGTGATAAAGAGGTGTACTGGAGGATTACAGAGCTAACCCCTGAGTGTCTTTTTTCTTTTCCTTCCTGGAATCAGATAGGAGAATTCTGATGACTGTGCTAATCAGTCTATTAAGCTGCAGGACCTCGTAAGCTACTGTTTTGTGGGTAATAGAGTATACTAAAACGTGAAACCTTTCATTACAAAGTAATACCAATTTAATGGTCAAACACCTATGTGTTTATGCTACAAAAGTGCAGCCTAGTGGTAAGAAACCACGCTGCAATCCCAAAAACATGGTTCAAATCCACCAGCAGCTGCGTGAGAAAAATGATGGACAATTTCCTCCTGTACAAATGACTGCCTTTGAAAACCTGCTGGAGGGTCAACTATGGATCGTTTCTGACCCAACAGCACACAACAGCAACAGCTTGTTCAGAAGTGCCTTCATGCACACTTTTGTTATCTCATAATCTTTTCCTGTGGGCTTTTAGTACCCGCTAGGAAAGAGAGCTGGTGACAACATTGGCCGCTGCACCTGCTTCTTAATTGGCAGGACTCCAGCTCATGACCCGGCGAGCACATACTAAAAACACTCCATCCTCCACTCTGTCCCAGGCAACTCGTACTCCTTATTACTGAGCAGAAGCGTGGAGTGCTTCAAAATGTCCTAATCTTGCCAAGATGACCACAATCTGAAAGTAGCCAGGGGAGTAATCTTAGAACATCAGTCAAAGAGCACAGCAGTAGAACACTTCGAAAACTCAGACCTGATAAATTGGAGTCTTTTAAAAATATTTAGCTGCTGTTTTATACTCAGAGGTTACATTTCATCTTACCTAATTGTATGCCTAACTGCTCCTACTATGATAAATTTTATATGGATTTTAATAGATAAACTAATTGTTCAATGTAATGTCTCTCACCTGCTGACTTACTCCTGCCTGGGTGAGTTCCTTCTCACATGACTCTATAGAATGTTCATGAGGCTGTAGATTTCAACAGAAGGCTGCCCCTCCTTCGTTCTCAGAGCTACTTGTGTATCTGAATCATTTGGTATGTGCAATTTGGGTTTAGGATATGTTGTTGTTGTTGTTGTTATGTGCCGTCAAGTCGCTTGCGACTCATAGCGACTGTATGTACAACAGCCCTAAACTCCGCTCTGTCCTGTGCCAATCGCACTGTCTCTGACACTCCCATCCCAATTATCCCAGTCACTGAATCAATCCACCTCATAGAGGGCCTTCCTCTCCTGCGCTGTCCCTCCACCCTCCCAAGCATGATGTCCCTCTCCAAGGACTGGTCTCTCCTCACAACATGTCATCAATATACTTAAATATATTATCTTTCTTGCCTTTGTCTTCTATTTCTTGTGCTTTAATTTCAATTGAAAAGTAGCACATCATTTCTTTGAGTAGAAATTTTCTAGCACAAAAATATTTGTGTATAATAATATCTGTGCTACCATTTCAATAAAAGTAATATTAAAAGTAGTAACATATTATGCTCAAGCCACTTAGTAAAATCTTGGCATTTTTAACATGACAAGATCACCTGAAATCATAATTCAATCCTCAATATTTTATAGAAAGAACTCTGAAATTCAGAGCTGTTATATAACAGTTCCAGTTTTCAAGTGTGTTAGTGATGTAAAATTTACACAGCTTTATTAGTTATTATGTTGGTTGTTATTAACTTATTATTAGTAAGTTTTGTTATCTTTTAGGTACCATTTCTGCCAGTGTTGATACATATTTTATAAGTATCTATAGTTGCTATTATGTAATACTGGCAGAACATTTTCATTTATGTAGGATAATGTTTTGGAGTTTGTGGGGGTTTTCCCCCCCCTAAGTTATAGTGGTAATAATACAGGTAATGAAAATAAGTTAAAATTTATGCACATTTTGATGGACAATGGAAACCAATTAACAATGACCTTGAGGTAAAAAAATGTTTGTAGTAACCTAGGATAAGTAAGCTCCACTATTTTTCCAGAAGTATTAAAAGCACATTCAAATTATGTTGGGTTTTTTTTACCACTTTTTTGTAGATGAGGAGCTCTTCTCTGGAATGTATATTGATTTCATGGGGACAGATGCTGCTATTTTTCGAAGTTTAACTAAGAGAAATGCAGTCAGAACCGATCAGCACAATTCCAAATGGCTCAGTGGTAAGACAACATTTCCTGCACTTTGTAAATGGCACAGTTTACACTTATAGTTCCATTGTGTAAATAAGGTAAAATTGTTTTTAAAAATGAAAATACCACATCATAACATGAACATGATCATATTTCCATACATTATAATACACAACACTTAAAAAAGCAATTTATCCCTTAGTTCATATTTCAACTCTATTTTGTTGATACTCATACAGTTACCATACAATACATGAAGAAAGAAAAGTGATAGTGATACTCATCATATTATCTCTTCCAGTTAATTAATTGTACAACATTATAATCAAATACACTTTTTACTTAAGAAGTTGGTTGGTGCCATCCAGTCAACTATGACCTCATAGCAATAATATGAACAGTATATTGGTATATTGAAACCTTGTCCTATTTTAAGCCATCATGATCTTTACCATGTTCAAATCCATTGTTATAGCCACACTGTCAATCCATCTTGAGAGTCTTAATCTCTTTAACTGAGCCTCCTTACTGCAATTAATCTAAATTTTTAAATCATGCCAAATGTAAAAATTACCCCCCATTTAGACATTGTTGTTACATACAAGCTACATACTGTCTTGTTAGAACCAACTCATAGCTGACCCTCCAGGGGTTCTGAGAAGCTGTAAATTGCATGGGAGTAATTGCCCATTTTTCTCCCATGGACTTGCTGGAGGATTAGTTTCATCCAATTCCTTTTGGGTTCACAGCACAACTCCTTACCACTAAGCCACAAGAGCTCCTGCATTTTTGACATCCAGATGTTGTGCGTAAACAACATACAGAAACTGATGGCTTTTATGCCTACATTCTATAAATGCTTAAGTCTGGTGCAAAGTACCTCATTAGAGTATCATTCAGGAAAAATGGGAGCATTCTCTTCTCTGGTGATTCACTGCCTCTGAAAAGCCATTGGAAGAGCAGTCTTGGATCATGCCTACTCAATGGTATATAACTATACAGCAGCATAATTTCATTAATACTTAATGGGTATCTTAGGTTTACACCTAAGTAGCTTTTACTACTATCAGAGTTCAGAGGTTTCCAATTTTTAGAGTCACGTGGAATTCACATTGTGAAAGCTGCTTCTTTGAATTTCTCACATCATTGAGTCAGTTGCTGTAGTTTGACAGAAGAAGAAATCTAAGATTCTTGCCATTTTACCTGGGGCTAAATTTCTGAGCCTGAATTTGACAGTTCACTCACCTTTGCACATTTAAGCATGAATCACCCCACTTATCTTATTTCACACAAGCACAAGAAAGTACTGATTGTTCATCAATTTCTTGAGATTATTCCTCCATTACATCTGGGAATAGTGTGTTCTAAATGTTGTTTTGTTCTTGAAATAAGAAAACCCTCTATTTCTTCAATTGACTGGATTTTTTTTTCCTTGAAAAGTTTCCCCACCATTTAATGTAGTTCATTTTAAGAAAATGCATTTTTCAGACCTTGGAGGCCCAACTCTTCATTCTGCTTCAGTGAATTTCAGTTTGTATGCACTAGATTGAAACCACACTTTGAAAAACAAACTTTTTTCCCCCAATAACCCAACCACCAGATTCCATGGGAAATCACTAGTAGAAAAATTTAGTGATTTTTTTTTAACTCATCAATGTGCAAAGATTTTTTTTAAGTTGCTATACTTCCAGAATGTATTGTAGGCAGAGAAAAACAATTTAAGCTATTATGTTATAGCTCTATACTTTGTGGTACTTGGCATTTCAGACTGTTGAAGGAAGACAGTTTATGCTCTGACATGTTTGCCTGTGAACATTGCATTGTTCTCGTACATGAGTGATGGGAAAGTGGTGGTTGTAGATGAGCTGGGGGTGGATTTTCATCATGAGTATACATAGTGTTTATGCGTTTTTACAGAACCTATGTTTGTGGATGCACATGTCATCCCAGATGGTACTGATCCAAATGATGCTAAGGTTTACTTCTTCTTCAAAGAAAAACTCACTGACAGTAGCAGGAGCACCAAGCAGATCCATTCCATGATTGCTAGAATATGTCCTGTAAGTACTGTGTGGTTCTAATGAGAAGAAAGAGTAAGCAATTCAAGATAGTTACTTTCTCTTTCTAACATTCTATCTTCCTGTTCTTTCTGTCTACGGTTATAAATTGAAGGGTATAGTAAGAGCCCCGGAGGTTCAGGGATTGAAACACTCTACTGCTAACTGAAGATCTAGTGATTCTAACCCATCAGCCACATGGGGAGAAAAGGTGTGGCTTCCTGTGTCCATAAAGATTACAACCTTGGAAACCCTCTTGGACAGTTCTGCTCTGTCCCATAGGGTCACCAGGAGCTTAAATAGGTTCGATTGTTCATTAATGGTTCAGTTGTTAAACACTTGGCTGCTAACCAAAAAGTCAGCTGTTTGAACCACTCTGTGGAAGGAAAATGTAACCGCCTGTTTCTGTGAAGATTTATAACCTTGGAAACCCTCTAGGCAGTCAGAATGAAATGGTTATCAGTGACTTTGGTTATTAATTAATAAAATATTGAGAGAAGACATTTTAAAATAAAGTTTATTCATATCAGGTAAATGAGATAAGCATACTCTACTTCAGGGAAAAAGTAACTCAAGGACATACTGGTGTTTTGGTGTTAAATCATTATCAGTAAGCTTTGTTTTTCCATTTATTGCATTAGTATTAAAATTAATAACTGTGTACATGGTCAAGGTAAATGAAGCCACTTTTGTTAATAAAGATAAGGTGAGTTGACACAGTACCTGGGCCATTGAGGGTTAGTTTGTCAAAAACAGTGCATTTGGCGCAGGATAGAGCAAGGTTCAGAGCATAGCGTCACTATGAGTCAGGTTGACTTGACAGCACATAACAACAACAAACCAGAATTAAATACAGTTATTGAACTGCTAACAATAATAGAAATGGAGAAATATTCTATTAAAGTATTATTTTCTTTATTACTTAACAAAAAAGGCTCTGTATACAAAAATTAATTATATACAGAAGCTTGAAAAATTTATCATATTTTCCTGTACTGTAGTTATACAGTCTTGTTTTATCTACTTATGATTGGTATCATTTGTACAAAAGCATTTCTAGAAGCATTCATTTTACAGCAGTTCATTTACAATGCTACATTACTCAACCAATTGTGAAAGTCCGCTATTCTTCAACCATTTAAGCTAAAGCAGCAAAGCTAGGGAGGAAGAGGAAAGGCTTCTAAGTACAACTTTTTAAAATAATAAACAGTAATTAAAAAATAATAAATATTTTGCACAGAAAATATTTGTGAATTATCTGAATGCCATTTATCTACCATTGACAAAGAAATCATTAACATTCAGTTAGAAATACTGAGAGCTGATAAACACAGCGTTGTTGTTGTTGTTGTTATGTGCCATCGAGTCTCTTGTGACTCATAGCGACCCTATGTACAACAGCCCTAAACCCTGCTCTATCCTGTGCCAACTGCACTGCCTCTGACACACCCATCCCGATTACTCCAGTCACTGAATCAATCCACCTCATAGAGGGTCTAACAGAAAAACAAACAAAAAAAGGGATACGGAGGGCCATTTAGTTTAAGGGCAAACCTATTCTGATCACAAGTAGAATTTTCTCTGCACAATGATTTATGTTGCTATTGTAGATGAATGAATGGAATTCCAGAATCTCTGTAAATGTTCATTAAAACTAGTAAAATCAAATTTTTAATAAAAAATGGACACATTAACATGTTGCTGCACAATTTTAAATTGACGACAGTGCTTTTTTTTATGTATTACCATAATTTGCAGCAACGTGTTAAATTATATATTAACTCATTTTAAAAAAAAAATATTTCCTTTGATGTTGTTGGGTGTCGTAGAACCGGAACCAACCCACAGCTGACCCTCTGGTGGGTGTTCAGAGGCAGTTAGTTGCATGGGAGGAGATTACCCATCCTTCTCTTGCAGAGCAGCTGGTGGCTTTGAACTGCATGCCTTCGTGATCGTAGTGCAACTTCTTGCCGCTAGGCCACCAGAGCTCCTACATTTGTTATGCAAAATTATATATTTTTAAAAACCCAACAAAACAAATAAGGGGAAATCCAAAGGGCTAGAAAATATAATAAGAGATACTCAAATACATTATTAATATAAGAGAAATTCAATTAAAATGTCTACCAGAGTGTCTGACTTGGAAAGATGGGTAACTGCAAGTTCTGATAAGGTTGGATCCCTTGTACTTTCTCCTAAACCTACCAGTACCAGCTTAAAAAAGAAAAATGTATTCCATTCATCTTTAAAATTAGAAAGCTTAGGGGAGCTCTGGTGGCCTAGTGACAAGAAACTGTACTGCAATCCCAGAGGAACATGGTTCGAATCCACCAGACGCTCTGCCGGAAAAGGAGGCGCAATATCCTCCTGTACCAGTCAGATCTGATTTGATGGTACACGCACACAAAATAATAAAAATTAAAAAAAAAAAGAAAGCTTTTGGCATGTCCTTAAAGACTTCATCTGAGATATTTCTAGCTGATACCACATTCTACGAGGATAATATTTCAACTGTAGCTATATTGTAAAATGATAATATATTTCTTATGTATTCGTCCTTAAATATTGTTGTATGTGAGGATTAACCTTATTTTTCAACATAATTGAATACACAAAAATAATAAGAGTCACAGTTGGACTTTTAACACACAAGTGTTTATTTCTTTATTCAATTACGTTGTATCTACAAACTGCTTTCAGAATGATACTGGTGGACTACGCAGCCTTGTCAACAAGTGGACCACGTTCTTGAAGGCGAGGCTGGTCTGCTCAGTAATGGACGAAGATGGCCCAGAAACACATTTTGATGAGTTAGGTATGTAGGTGTATAATTTTAAAAATGTTCTGAAAAATAAAGTTGTAAGTTGTTATATCATATTTTAGTATGATGTCAGAAGAGATATTTTCATTGGAAATTGTGGTCACAAAGGGTGTACCAATTCAAGTTGAAAGTCTTTTTTACATAGTTTTATGCTATTGAATGCAGTGCTGAAATGTGTTTATTAAATTCACCATGGTATGTGAACATATGTGCATGATACTTGTAAAAGGTATAGATATATACTGATTTATTGCTATAATGAATTTTGTATTGGACTGTCAAACTGAAGGTCAGTGCTTTCAAATCCAACAGTCAGCTCTCTAGGAGGAAGGTGGTTTGTCTCCTTTTGGAAAGACTTACAATCTCGGGCATTTGGTAGAGGGTCAAATGAGTTGGAATTGAATTCTGTCAGTGGTTGTGATTTGCTTTACATATATGTTAGGAATTTTTATAGATGAATATTGCTGTTGTTGTGTGCCGTCGAGTTGCCTATGACTCATAGCAACCCTATAGCCCTAAACCCTGCTCTATCTTGTGCCAGTCTCACTGTCTCTGACACACCTACCCCCATTACACCAATCACTGAATCAATCCACCTCATAGAGAGTCTTCCTCTCCTGCACTGTCCCTCCACCCTCCCAAGCATTCTCCAAGGACTGGTCCCTCCTTTCAACATGTCCAAAGTATGTCAGATGAAGCCTCAGAATCCTTGCCTCCAAGGAGCAGCCTGTTTGAACCCTCTCCGGGATGAACCTGTTCATTTTCTTAGCAGTCCATGGTATATTCAATACTCTTCTCCAGCACCACAGCTCAAGGGCATCAGTTCTCCTTCTATCCTCCCTAGTCATTGTCCAGCTCTCTGATGCATAGCAAGTGATGAACAGACATGTTTTATGTATGTTAGAGTAATTAATATTGTCACTAGATGGAATTATGAGTGACTAATAATTTAGTTACCTTTGCCCTAAATAATACTCCCCATGGAATGAAGAAGCTTGTCTTTTCCAGTTCACTTAAGGCCTAACAGTGTGATTGCTTCTCAAAAAGGAGCAATTCTCTTTTTGATCAGATAAACTTGGCACATAGTGTCATACTTAACAATAATACATAGAAGTAACTTACTTTGTCTGAATTAATTAAAATGCAAAATACTGGCTATTTGCAAGTCTTGAGGTAAGAGATAAGCAATAAAACATTTACATGGAAAACCAGTGATATTAACAGTTTAAAAAACTTAAATAGATTGTTGGTCTCAAACTTCATTATGTTCCTAGTGGAAATGAAACATTATGTATCAGCTTTCGATGAAATAATTAATAGTTCTAAACATCACTCTAGTTAATATAGAGCATAATCACTTAATATTTCCCCAGTCTCATTTTCAATATAATTATGTAACAGTGATTTGGAATGGTTCAGCCTTTTGAAAGCTAAGTATTGTAAGTCTTTACTGGCATATAAAAGATGAGGTGTTATTAATTTATTGCTTATAAGATACAGCATTCATAATTAAAAATAAATTCCGATTTTTCAGTCTTTGTTTGAAATATTACTTGCAAAATTGTCACTAACTCCAGACCTTTTCTGAAAATCTCAAATACTAATTTATGTTTACTAGCAAAAATCTACATTCTAGTTGTGATAATTGTTTCTACATCTTACTATCAATACATTGTTGATTGATACTCTAAACATTTTTTGTTCAAGAAAATCTTACTTAAATATAAAAACCTCATTCACAATTTTCTCACTAAGCTCTACTCACTACCGACCTCCCAAAAAAGTTTTTTTCCAGTGTCCCAACTTTTAATCTTAAGCCAGGAAAAAATAGAGCATTTTTTTTCTGTTAAGACCAATACCATAGAGAGCTTTGGTGGCTTGGTGGCAAGAAGCTGTGCTGTAATCCCAAAGGTCCCAAAGGTGGTTTGAATCCACCAAAAGCTCTGCTGAAGAAGGAAGGCTGGGCCATCTCCTCCTGTGCCAGTTGATCTGACTTGATGGTACACAAGAAGAAAAAAAAAAACAAACAGCAAACCAACCAAACCACCAATACCATATCAGTAATTGATATTTAGGAAATAGAAACATGAAGAAGAAACAGTAGCATTTCTATTGGTTTTATACGCAGAGGCATTGTGAATTGTTTTATTATTCTTGGGAGCTCTTGTGGCCTAATGATAAGAAGCTCCACGGCAATCACAGCTTTTTTAATATATCAGAGATGCTTCATGAGAAGAGGATGGGCAATCGCCTCCCATGCAGTTACTGCCTCTGAGAATCCCCTGGAGGACCACCATGGTCACTTCAGACTCAAGGTCACACACACAACAACAGTGGATAGTTGTCAGGTTTACATGTGTATAGTCCATATTACTTATATTTCCCCTTAATATTATTTCATCACGGTGATTACCATATTACTACTAAGTCCTCAAAAATACCTCTTTAGTGTCTTTGTACTCTGTTGTTTCATTTATTTAACCTGTGTCTTGACCACCTTTCTAATGATACAGCAAGAATGTATTTAAAATACAATTTTCCAAAGTTGAAGATACTTCATTATGGTAATTTTTTTTAAAAACCAAAATAAATATTTGGAAAATTTAAACTAATTATATTTTCTCTTTTTTAGAGGATGTGTTTCTCCTGGAAACTGATAATCCACGGACAACATTAGTATATGGCATCTTTACAACATCAAGGTAATTAGTAAGCAATTACACTGTATTAATTAAGCGATAGATTTTATTACACATTAGTAGTTTTTTAAATTTTTTCAATTTCTTAAAGTTCTTTTAATTTCTAAATTGTAGTGGACTGTTTTATTTGGAATTTATATTGATATTTTTAATATAAAATTTTTACAGCTTATAAGCTATTGAAACTGATTTTTCTCATTCCTTAAAAATATTGAGTGAATTCTAAAATTAGTTGTTATTATTATCTATTGTATCTATGAATAAATTAAATATTGCAATACCTCATATATCAATGCCTTATATTTTATAAGTTTTCTAACTTTTAATTGGACATAAAACATTCAGCTGTTCTAAAATGAAAAATAACAATTTCATCTCATAAATTTTATTGTTTTTAAAGTTGTAAACATGGAAAATGAAGAGAATCAATCTCTATTTACTGCTTTCAGCTCAGTTTTTAAAGGCTCAGCGGTGTGTGTGTATCACTTATCTGATATTCAGACTGTGTTTAATGGACCTTTCGCCCACAAAGAAGGGCCCAACCATCAGCTGATTTCCTATCAGGGCAGGATACCATATCCTCGTCCTGGAACTGTAAGTATCCAGAAAGTTTCTTTGCTTTCTTACTTTTGTAAAAACTATAAAAAGAAATTGAGCATATTGATATTTGTTAATCTCAATTATAGGCTTAGTGTTATGTCGCTGTTATTAGTTATACAATACTCTTAGCTGTCCTAAAACAACAGATCTGAGTCTTGCCATCATCATGATCCCCTACACTCAAGCCCATTGTTACAGTCATTATGTCAGTCTGTCTTGTTGAGATTCTTCCTCTGACTCACCTTTCTAAGCATCATGTCCTTTTCCAAGGACTGGTCCCTCCTGACAACATACTCAACATATTGAGATGATGTTTCACCATCTTTGCCTCTGAGAAGCCCCTGGTTGCACTTCCTTTAAGACACGCTTGGGGTGGGGTTTTTTTTGGGGGGGTTGGGGTGTTTGTTTTGGGGTTTTGCTTTGTTTTGTTGTTGTTGTTTTTGGCAGTTCATAGGATATTCATTACTCTTCTCCAGTACTACAACTCTAAGGCATTCATTATTTTTTTTTTCATCTTTATTCAATAGACAGCTTTCAGCTGCATGGTCACTAATTGAAAATACCATGGCTTGAATCAAGCACATCCTAGTCTTTAAACAGAAATCCTTGCTCTTTATTGCTTTGGAGAGGTCATTGGCTGCTGTTTTATATTTTTCCAATATAAAACATCTTTTGATTTCTTGACTGCTGTCCCATAGGTGTTTATTGATACAAAGTTTCTGATAATTTCAATCTTTTTTTCTATTATCATGAAATTGCCTCTTGGCCCAGGGGTAAAGATTTTTGTCTTCTTGATGTTAAGATGTAATGCATGTTAAAGGATTTCTAGATGAGGGACAATATCTTCTGACTTGCACTAGTAGCTTCACAATGTGAAAGAATCCATATAAATAGCACGAAGCCGATTTCTGTAACGTTATACATGTAAAGCCTCAACACTTCTGACGAACACTCTCGCCACTTTTCTATCACAGATGTCTTTTACAATTATTTCTCTTTAATGTTGATAGTTCAGTAGAGGATGGGTCAAATATTTAGTTATTTCAGAAATAGGAACCTCAACTCACCACTGAGGTTTTGAGTCTCAATGGGAAAAGATTGTCCATCTTTCTCTCTGAAAGCCACTCATAAATTCTAACTATGACATTTTGGGTAACAGCACAACATGCTATGGACTTTATCACCAGAGGTTCTTTTACATAAGAAAATAAGCCAACAAGATCATATTTTAAAAAAGGAGAATAGAAGGTAAAATATAGTAACTTTCAACTTCTACGTTCAGTATTGTTATTTCATCAAATTTGTGTCATGAATTTCCAGATAGCTAACTAATAACATATTCTAAGAATAAATGATATTTTTTGAGAATTACTTACTATTTGAAGTGACCGACCCATCGTTTCATCCCCTTGTTGTTAGATGTTATTGAGCTGACTCTGAGTCATAGCAGCTTACTTGTGTACATGAGATCAGAGCCTTGCCCAGACCTGTACCATTGTTACAATCTTCCCTGTGCTTAAAGCCCATTGTTCCAGTCATTGTACAAACCCATCTCAGTGGGGGTATTCTCATTCATTGACCCTCTGCATTTTGAAACATAATGTTCTTCTCCAAGGACTAGTTTCTCTTGAAAACATTCCAGTGTATGTGAAATCAAGTCTCACTATCCTTGACTCTAAATAACACCCTAGCTGGGCTTCTTCCAAAATAGATTTGCTAGTTTTTTGGTAGTCCATGGTATATTTTATACTCTTCATGAACAGACAATTAGGAACTAATTTTGACTACTTATGCTTTCATCAGAAGTTCATATTTGTATAGGAATAATTGAAATTTAACCTCTTTATAGCCACAATATTCTATTTTCCTGCAAGTAAACCCTTAATAGAAATCACTCAGATAAATAAATAAAACAGGTGAAAGAGAGCCACTCTTACTTATCAGTTCAAGTCTCAGCATCTCATGTAGTGGTTTCTAGAACCAGTTTGCACCTGCTTGGAAGAGCTAACAGTTTTCATCTCTTCCCAACTCAATGATGTCACAGCATTAGCTTGAAATTAGTGATAGCTGAAATATTTAAAGTTGTAATATGCTATAAATCAAGGGTTCCCCCCCTATAAGGTGACATTACTGTCTCCACCCCTCATCACTCTGCTCCTCATGTAAGTGACCTATACAGAAGACAACACTCTGAGAAGCACAGTGGGAAAACCATTTGTGCTCTCATTGAACAAATTACACTATGCGAAATGCAGGATCAGAGAAACACTTCTTACTAAAGCAATGCTAATTGAGAAATTTCTACTCTCAGTCCCATTTTTCACTATTTCCAACTTTCCAAAAATAAGCACCGTTTGCTCTGTCTAAAGTATTACAAACTGAGCCAGAGCTCAGTGACACACATCTGGAGCAGGCTCTGTCAAAAAGAGGAGTAGTCAGTATTTTAGGCATATTTCTATAATGTGGTTTCTTACATCTGGTGGTGAGACCAGAACTGCTCCTTTAAGTTAAAAAAAAGGGGGGGGGGAAGTTGGATGAGTGGTCTTTAGGGAAGGCAAGAAGCAGGGTAGGGGCGTGACCTCTGGAACTCCTCCTGGAAAAGTGTACTTCCCTCAATATGAGGTCCCTCCACCCTTCACCAACAAACACGCCATGAAATCAGCTCCCTGACTCAGCGCAACTGGTGATTGTCTCTTCCCTGGTCTCTCAGGGCTTAATATCCTGCTCATATAGCCACAAGATCAGCAGCCAAGTGACCCCAGGCTTTCTCTCTTCTCAAGGGTGAAGAATGTTGCCTCTGAAGTCCTCCCGTGGAGGATCAGCTGTGACTCTCGGACTTCTTTTTCCCCCACCCAGTAGTTCAGTTGCTAGGTCAACTCCATAAATATGTGACCATGTTCTTAAAGAAATTACAGTGGGAGAAATCTTACACCGTCTCTCTAATGTGCTCTGTAGGTGCTTCTTTCAGAGTAAAGTTTGATAGCTCTGTTAGCAAGGGGCCCCAACTGGGAAGCTCAGATCAGTAGGAAGAAGCTTGCCAATTGTGTCATAATGTTTCACCATAAGTAATTCAAGTTTGTGGAAGAAACAAGACACCCTTGGTATGTTGCAAAGGGCAGCCAAAGACAGCAGACATTCTCTGTGGCCAAGCTGACATATTCCATTATTCCATTGCTATGTGTATAAAGCTTCTGCAGGATATTGGGTTTGTATCAACTATTATGCTAAATCAGAACTAGTAAGAATATTCTTTAGCTTTAAACATCTATTTAGAATTGGAGCAGAACCATCTGCTTCAATCCTTGTGCTTCAAAGAAGTCTGATTCTTGATGCAGCAAAAGAACACAAAAAAACCCTACTCATGATCAAGATGGCAGTGATGGGGGCGGGAGTTCACTGGTGACATTTCTGGTGGGTATATACCATTTAGGGCAGTGTGGTAATAGAGTCAAGAGGTAGTTGTGTTCCTAACCCAGAGGTACCCTTAAAATGGTGCAAAACCACAAGTGACTCAGGGAGAAAGATGGATAGTCCTTTCCTATGCAATGTACAACCTCTGAAACGCACTGCAAAGTCAGCTATGAGTCAGTCTGTCTAGACTCCAATACGTTGAATTATGTTTATATACCTTTACAGACTATTTTTATATTAGGAGTATTTTTAGACTTTTTAGGAGTTTAAAATGCCTACCTAAAAAATTGAACTCATAAATCACACAGAAGTAAGTACATCTAACTATTGCCCAACATTAGTATATAAAGTGGATGACTAAGTCACTGTAATGAAATCAAAGAAGAGAGGGGTCATAGACAATATTATTTAGGAAGAGATCTAAATTGTGAGGCTGAGGTGGCCTCAGTGAGTATTTGGAAATGGATGATGAGAGTAAGGGAGGGTGTTTAAGACAAAGGGTGTAAATAAACACAACACTGTAGTCATACAAATGAGTGAGTCTTGAAAGGTCTGCAAGGGATAGGAGGACTGGGACAGACAGCTCTGAAAGGCAATGAAAAGTTAACATGAGGAAGACAAGGACTCACTTATACGTAAACCCACATTCTCAATTAAAAAGTTGTTTGAGGTTCAGAGAACAAATCTAAAACACCAGTAGTTTTAACCATGAGATCTATTTCTCTTAGCACACTGTTTAAAAGAATAAAGCTCAAAATAGATATAGACTCTGGAACACCATTAAGTCGGCATAACACTTGACTTTTAAAGGCTAGGTCAAGAACATGGACTCTTAACTATGCCAGTAACTTCCTTCTCTGAGTGATGCATTTTTATTTCCTGCCTCACCTCATGTCTCCTTTCTCCACTTTGAGGGGTGTGATCCAGTATAGATAAAGGGATTGTAGTTCCAATTCTCGTAATACTCCAAACTTTCTCTTCCCCTCTCTAAGCCTCTTCACAGAGCTTGATATCCTTAAGGTTGTCTCAAATCTGAATTTTGTTAAAAATTACTGGCTTTTAAAGCATAGCCGTCTATTTATTCTGAAACAAACTCAATATTATTTTTGTCTTTTATAATTTCTGGTATGTCTCAATTGTTGTTAGCTTTGAAAAAGACTACTTTTATCATTACAATATTTCCATCTAGGAGACTACTAAAAAAATCTAAACCAAATTCAGTACTAGTCAATTTTAGTCCATAGCAACTCTGTTGTCATTATCGTAATTATTATTTTTATGGGCCATCATGTTGGAACAAACTCAAAATTGACCCTTTAGTGGGTTTTCAGAGGCAGTAAAAAGCACAATAGAGACTGCCCATCTTTCTTCCACAGAGCAGCTGGTGGATTTGAACTGCTTGACTTTGGGTTGGCAGTGTAAGTCCTCACCACTAAGCCACCAGAACTCTCTATAGCAACTTTATGGGACAGAATAAAACTGCCTATAGTTTCAAAACTGTTATCTTTATAGACACAGAGTTGTTTTTATGTTCCATTGAGTTAGTTGCCTGTGACTCATAGCGACCCTATATACATTAGCTC